GTGTTTGTGTTTTCCAGCATTCTGGCTTCCTTTCCTTTCTGGAGAAGTACATAGTCTGTTATTTCCCTATTAATATGGGCTGTTCCTGTTTCCCCTGCTTGTGTACTCAGGAGAGTGTATCCTCCATATTTTACGGTCCACTGTTGGCATTTCGAATGACTTTCTAGAAGAATGCTTTGCCTCCAGCCCCACTGATCCGTGCTGCGTCCTATCTTAACCTGACTCTCAAACTTAGAGCTAGAGTTTGTCTAGATGTGCCTACATGCTCAGTGTCTGTTCATCTGGTCACCATTTTTCCTTGATTCTTGTCCTTTCTTTGAAAAGACTTCCCTCCTCTCCTGAAGAATATCCTTTGGAAGTTCATGAGCACACTTGTAGGACCCAAGTTTGAAGTGCATTCTTCCAGATAGCCTCTGCATTGGCCTCTGCTAAATGTTGCACTGCCAATCTGAGACACTTTACGCTTTTTATTTGGGACTTTTCAGGCTGCAAAAATCATATAAATTCAACCTCAAACCTGTCTGTAGGCAGGTCTGTGGTTGAGGAATTGTCGAACCTTTCGGAATTCTTTCTACCCAGCCAAGGACACAGGCACAGCTGCCCTTAGTCCTCCGCTTCTTGGGCAGAGCAGGGCTCTTCTTTCTACTTGACATGGTCAGCGCCTTCCAGCTTGCTGCCATGTCTCTGTGGCCCGGCATTGCCGCTCACTGAAGCCTGGGGCTTCAGGCCAGTTGGGCCCCTGCACAGCTGCTATTCCCTCTGGACGCTCGCAGCTCACTGCCAGCTTGGGAGAGCACTTGACCCAGAGATTATAGGGGGCATTTCTCTGAACATCACATTTGCCTTACATTGCTTTGAATTTCGAGCAGTAAAATGAATTATATTCACTGTACAGTTGGTGTATGGATTTAGCTCCATTTCCCAAACAGTGGAGTTACTAAATGTTTTCAGTAAAACCAGCTTCAGACTTCGGTGGATTCCTCTCAGATGCACAGAATGGCATTGTAGGCTTTGGTTTGAAGAATATCTAAGTATTAGTGAGATACTATGTAAATGCTCATGGTCGTTATTAGAGCAGCTTTCCTAACTCTTCTGAGGTATAAATTGACACAAGTCAAATGTACACATCTGATGGTGTCAAAGTTAAACTTAGTCTGCGCTCGTTCTGACCTGTAGAGGCACAGGGTCCTCTGAAGCTGCAAGTGAGGATGTGACCAAGGTTTTCTTTTTATCTGCTGCCTAACGCACCACCTGCGATTCCTTTTTTGTCTTTTCTTCTTTTCACAGACCTTTGTATGTAGAATTTAGTTGGGGGATTGTTTCTCTGCTGTTTATTAAGCAAATAAGAATCATTTACAATGTCACATTTTTTTCCCCTGTGTTCATAGTCCTCAGGACCTAGAAACTAACATTTGATAGAATTAATCAAAACTACAATTTATTACACCCCTGCCCAATTATGTGTGACTTATTTGGACTTGTGTATGACCATGTCAGTTAATATTTTGCAGTGTAGATTTTTCTGTTTGGAATAGATTGTTTAGTCTCTCTACATTTATGATAACCAGAGGCCTGCTACTCTGTCTTTATCCTCCTAGGGCAGCGCTGAGCAGCCTGTCCAAACTAGCAAGATTGGCCTGGGGCGGAGAGAGTACCAGAGCCTGCAGCACCGCTCCCACTCCCAGCGCTCCAAATGCCGTCCTCCTAAGGGCATGTATTTAACCCAGGAAGACGTGGTAGCTGTTTCCTGTAGTCCCAACGCAGCCAACACCATCTTGAGGCAGCTGGACATGGAGCTGATCTCTCTAAAACGCCAGGTATTTTGTTTAAATGACACCTTTAATAATTCTGTCCACTCGCCTGCTTTCATCTGGATAGAACTTTGTTCTCTGCAGATTTCCTTTTATAAATGTTCTATTCCCCTCCTGCCCCGGGGCCTGGTGGTGGCGAAATATTCTGCGCATCTGTAGCTCCGGGGCGTTCTTTTATTATTTTTATTTTATGTGTATGAGTGTATTGCCTGCGAGTATGATGTAAGTGCACCTGTGTTGTGTAATGCCTGCAGAGATCGGGGAGAGGGCGTCTGATCCCCTGGAAGTGGTGTTACACATGGTCGCTATCCGCCATGAGGGTGCTGGGAATCAAACCTGGTGCTCTGCAAGAGCGGCCTAAGCTCCTACACTGAGCATCTCTCCAGCCCTCGGTGTCATTCTTCAAAGCTTCACATGTGTATCTTACGAACTTCCCCTGCCTAGTCTAGGTACGGCTGCCTGTTGGCCTGTCAGCTCTGTGATTTTAGACAAGTTCTATAACCTCACTAAGCTTCGGTTTCTCTGTGAAATTAGGGATGACAGTCGCACTGCTCTTGCAGGTTATTGGAGACTGTTCACAGCGGTGCTTGTAGACTTTATAGCAGTGCATGTAGACTGTTCACAGTGGTGTGTGTAGACTGTTTAGCTGTGCTTAGCACGTTTTAAATCTTGTGGGTAGTTATTGCTGCAGTCATCATGGCTGTAGTTACGGATTTGTAAGAACGTCATCAGATGGCTCTATAATGCCAAGCTCCTAGTATGTAGACCCTGGAGGATTGTGAAAGCCAGCTGTTAGGTTCTGCTATTAATAACTGCAGTGAAGAATGCGGGCAGAATGAACTTAGTACAACAACAGAGACCTCGTCAGTGAGCTTGTAAGTTCTAACCTTGACTGCAGCTCTTCTTCCCCTTCTGATTTTGGGGACTGTTGAACTTCTCAGTCTGTCTCTAGAGGTAAGAATGACAGTGTCTGGAGGAAGCAGGTGACGAAGGATGAGCACGCACAGCCGTGGCTGACAGAGCTCAGCGATTGTTTTAGGTTTCTGGCCTCTTTTCATCCTTCATTTCATTTTGAATCCCAGCACCCACATGGTGGCTAACAACTGTCTGTAACTCCGGTTCCAGTTCTGTCTCCTGTCCTCCATGGGCATTGCACCACATGGATGCACTTAGACACACACAGGTATAACACTCATACACATAAAAATAAAATCCTTTCAGTTTTTTCCCATCTTGAGTCACAATTCAAATTCGTGGCCTGCCATGTGGCCTGTTTCTTTGCCCGGACCCATCCTTTCTTCCGGGGGCACTTCTACCTGGAACGCATTCTGTCTCCTCAACCTTGTCTGCTGCACACTTTGAGACCCGGTTTAGGGGTTGTCCCCCCTGGAGTAGCCCCCTGACCACCTGTTCCTCTGTGTAGCTTTCTAATATGGCCAAGCAACTTAGCCCCCAGCACCCTATATTTATTCCAGATAGTCTAGTGGAAAAAATTCATGAACAACCTAATATTTTGTTGTCCACGTAGAGGAGAAACCCAGTCAGCGGGGTCGGGGGAGAGTGAACAGGCACTTCGCACATTGCGTGTTCGAAATGAAGCCTAGTGGTAATGCTAGTGGAGAGGAGGTTAGACTGTACCCACGCTTTGTGCTCACCTGTGTGCCCTGCTCTGCCTTCTGTACATAGCAGGCAGCTCTCCTCCACTCCTGTCTGAAACATGCATCTGTTCCCTTGCATTCATACACTGGGAGCAGTTTGAGCATAGCATGAATTTTGTGTTCACTGAAACACAATTTTTGTCAGTGAAAAACGATCTGGTTGGCCACACAGAGCTATATTGGTTCATTCTAAGTTACAGACTTCACACACCTGACGTAACTTAGGCTACAATAACCCTCCTACACTCACAGTATTTTAAGGGTTTTATTTTTTGAGTATGAGTGGTGTTTTGCCTGCATGTATGTAAGTATACCATGTGTGTTCCTCATGCCTTCAGAGGACAGAAGGGGGCGTTGGATCCCCGGGAACTGGAGTTAAGGACAGGTGTTAGCCATTGTGTGGGTGCTGGGAATCGAACCCTGATCCTCTGGAAGAACAGTAAGTGTCCTCTCTCCAGCCCCTTAAGTGCCATCTTTATTGTAGCGTACTTTTTATTTATTCATTTTTAGTTTACGTGTATGAATGTTTTGCCTGCTGAGACCTTGGAATAGGAGTTAGAGATGGCTGTTAGCCACCAGGTGGGTGCTGAGAGCTGAACCTGGATCCTCAGCAAGAGCAGCCAGTGCTCCCATTTGTTAGATTCCTGACTTTTTTGGCCTTTTTGAGATAGGGTCTCCCTGTAGCCACAACTGGCGTGGCACTCCCTATGTAGACCAGGCTGGCCTCCATCTCACAGAGTTCACCTGCTTCTGCTGGGACTAAAGGCATACACCACCATGCCCAGCTACACTCCTGTCTTTGTCACTGTTCTGTCCAGACCTCCTTTTTCCTTTTCCCCATAAGACTTAGATTTTCTGTTGAAGATTTTGCATAGTGTAATGATTTTTAAGGATGTGCGTGTTGTGGCTGGGCATGATGGTGCACGCCTTTAGTCCCAGCGGAGGTAGGCAGATTTCTGTGAGTTCGAAGCCAGCCTGGTCTACATCGTAAGTTCCAGGCCAGCTGGGGCTACAGGGAGACCCTGTCTCAAAAAGACCTAAAAAAGAAAAATGCATGTTGTGAAAGAAGCTGGAAAGATGTCTTAGCAGTTAAGAGCACTGGCTGCTCTTCCAGAGGGCCCGGGTTCGAATCCCAGCACCCACATGGCAGCTAACAACCATCTGTAACTCAAGTTCCAGGGGATCCAATGCCTCTTTTGACCCCTGTGGTCATGCACAACATGGGTGCAGCTACACATGCAAGGAGTACACTCATACATAAAATAAAATAATAAAATATCTTTTAAAAAGAGGGATATACATGTTGTGTTATAGCAGAACTAATTGTATTTACCTCATGGGGTAATTGTGAGAATTGAGGGGTTTTATTTATTTTTGGTCTTTTTGAGATAAGGTCTCCCCTGTACCGCAACTGGCCTGGAATCACTAGTGGAGACCAAGCTGGCATCGAACTCACAGAGATCTGCATGCCTCTACCTCCCAAGTGCTAGGATTAAAAGCATACACTACCACGCCTGGCTGGGTTTTTATTTTTAATGTATTGAGTGTCAGGAATGTTTTGTACCTAGTAACTGTTAGTTGCTATTACTCTTGTTATTGAAACATTTGCCATTTTTTATGGTATTGAGAAATATTGATAGTTTAATACCTTTGTGTGCTAGTTACCAATGGTGTTTAAGGGCTGATTTAGGACGGTATATGGCTCAGTGGTACAGCATGCCTGCCTACCACAAATGAAGGCCTGGGTTCAGATCCCAGCACTGCCCACTCCATACACCAAAACAATGATTTGCGTTATTGCTTTATTCAAAGTCTATTAATCTCTCTACATTACTTGATATTTGTGTTACTTGAATTATCTCATATCACACCTTATGTGTGATAACCATGTCTGTTCTCCTGAGCTAAAATTGAAGATGGTTTTGATATATAGTGTTTCATTTATTGAGTACCATAAAAGTTTACTGAAGTACATGATCTGATTCACATTTTGGGTTATTTTGTTGAAGGTTCAGAATGCTAAGCAAGTAAACAGTGCACTTAAACAGAAAATGGAAGGTGGAATTGAAGAATTCAAACCTCCTGAGGTATGACACTGAGAGCGCGTGTGCTCAGCAGCCTTGTTCTTTGAGTTCCCCTGCACAGGTACCATTTTGTCACATGTGGTGTTAGTATTTTGAAGGTCTCACAGTGTGGATAATTTATCATGTCATTTTTCATTTACATGGTTGATCTTGAGGATCGGTTACCCTTTCATATTTAAATTCAATCATTTTCCCCTGCCCTTAGCAATTCATAAAGTAAATGCATAGGAGAGTGGCAGTGAGAGCCGCACAGTGCATGTCAGTGGGAAGCTGCGACGTGCCTCGGTCAGCGGTGTGCACACAGCCCTCTTCTGCTTGTGTGAGCTGGTAACACAGCAAGAATAAATCACAGGAAAGGGAGTTTCTCTTAAACAAAATTCTAATTGTCTTCTGGCTCAAACTTCAATGAGGATTTTGCTGTGTGTCTGTTCTTGTGCTCCGTCCCTGAAAATATAAAACCTCATGTAGAAAGGTCACATATAAAGGTCACATGTGTAGTGGTCATTGTTTCAGCCTTAGGTATGTTTTAGATAAGACTCAGATTTGTTCTTGGTAATTTTCGTAAGGTCAAATCAAGTCTTTACAGAAGTTTCTGCTATAAAATCTTCTTTTAAGACTTCCAGGTTATAATTTATACCCTGAATTGGCCTTTATGTGTGTATACACACACACATACATATTCTCAATGGGACCTTTTTATCAAAACCCTTCTGAATCGTACAGACTGATTGAGATCCCTACAGATGGAATATGGGATGACAGTGTGCTGTTGCAGAGACAGGGTTCCCTGCATCCTCCTCTTCGTCTGTATCAATCTCTTAGAACGCAGGATCTGTTACGAAAAAAGTTGTTTTTCTTTGTATTTAATAATCTCTTTCAAGATTAGGTATGGAAAATATTGGGAAAATGCATAGACAAATATCTGATTCCAAGCCCCAAAGTAAACAGACAAAGATTCTAATGACGATTAATTAAGGAAGGTGTAATATATAAAAATTACTTCATTTTGCTATATTATTGCAAAAAAAATCATTTTGAATTTTGATTTAGTTATTTTAATTTTTCATACATTAAGTATAAAGCAAAATTTTCAAATGCCAGCAATTTCATAATTTAAAAACTAAGTACAGCAGGTATTAAAAAGCACTATGGTGTCCATGAGAGACCTCAGGGAAAGGGCACTGCTGCCATGCCTGACAGCCTGGGCTGATCCCCTGCCTAGTGAAGAGAAGACCAGCTCCCAAAAGTTGTCTTTTCCCTTCCACACGTGCGCTTCAGTACATATTCCCCTCTTCCCCACATACATGTAGATAAGTAAAAGTAAAAAACAAGTATGAAGAAAAACATGAGGCCAGTGGGAATAACCTTGTGTAAAAGTTCGAGAATTTAGACCAAATAAAGAATGTCCTAGGAAATGTTTTACCAAAATTTTGCTGGGGGAAAAAGGGAACTCCCAGTACTCAGGAGGCAGAGTCAGGCAGATCTCTGTGAGATTGAGGTCAGCCTGGTCTGCATAGCAAGTTCCCGGCCAGCTGTAGCTACAGGGAGACCCTGTCTCAAAACGATTGGCGTGGGGTGGGGCTCAGTGTTTTATAATCATTAAATAAAATGAAAGATAATTAACATTTTTCTCTCATAAGAAAACCACAGGCCAATAGGGACTGGAGAGATGCTCAGTGGTTAGAGCACTGGCTGCTCTTGCAGAGGACCCGGGTTCCATTCCCAGCACCCACATGACGGTTAACAACTGTCTATAACTCCAGTTCTAGGGGAGCCAGTGCTCAATTCTGACCTTGGGGGTTGCATGACTTGGGTGCACTTACATACATGCAGGCAATACACTCATACACATAAAATAAAAATACTAAAATATTTTTAAAAAATGAAAACAATAGGCCCAGATAATTTATAAAGTGCCAATTTTCAAGGAAAAGTTCATTTTAACCTTGAATTTTTCATAAAATTCAGGATGGTCTCATTAACGTGACGTAAAGATGTCAAAGTGCTGTAAACATTTTGTCTTCAGCGCCACCTCTGTGATCGTCACATACACCATGAGGCAACCAACGCAGGTCTGTTACTGTACATGAGGAAACTGGACTCAGAAAAGCTGACTGACTTGGGGAAGCTCACACAAGCAGTAACTCCTAGACCTCTGTTGTGTTCTGACTTAGTCCTGACTGATCAGTATGTACTGTACTACTATTTAACTTGTGGAAGTTTTTACAGAACAGCTAAATCGTTAGGCAGAGTCTGACATTTTAAGTCAGTTACTGGGCTAGAGCTAGAAATCATCAAACATATATTATTTTATAAGAACCATGGCTAAGATAAAAACCAAAATCTTAGCATTCTGATCCACATCCACTGAGGTTTGAGTGCTACTGCTTTGGGGTGATTTGTTGAACTCACATAACTTGAAATCTAGAAAGTCTCCAGGATGTATGAATTCATCATCATCTCATTGCTTTCAGACAAGCAACTTGAACGCATTTTGAAATACTAGATTATGTCACACAAAAGACACTGAAAGGTCTTCCTTTTACATTTGAATTAGACTTCACCTAATCAAAAATGTTACTAACCTTTGGAATCATAATATGCCGTTAAATGACGTACTTCACACGTTACTAAGGGGTCTTGTTAGTTTGGTTTTATTGTAAGAAAGTACATTCACTCCCACGAGTATTTCTTAGTCAGCTTTGTCATGGAGGGCACAGTGGTGGGCACTGGGGAGCGGAGGGAAGGAAGGCACAGAAAGATGAGGGGATTCCCACCTGCTTTTTAAAAAACAAAACATGGTCTAGATGCTAAATGACAAACTGGTGGAAGTTACAGATGTATAAACAAGGTGCATAGGAAAGCAGTTGAACATGACTCGCCTGACTGGATAATCAGGGAAGGCTCCCTAATGGGGGAGAGTGCTTCTGCCCAGGCGAAGGGTAAATGGATTTGTGCACGTGCAGAGTTGAGAGCAGGGCATTCCAGGCCGAGAGCCGAGGGGACAGTGTTGTAGTTTGGGATGGCACATTCAAAATCAGGTCAAGTGGGGAGCAGTAAAACCTGTCGGCAGGTGTTCCCTGAGCCCTTCGGGTTCTTTATCATGTGAACTGCTGTTGGGATTCAGGGCTGTAGAGCAGATCTTGGAATCGCCTTGCTGCTTAAGAAGCAGGTGCAGAGAGGAGTGGACATCTGGTGAGATGCGGAAAGGCTGCTGTAGAGTCATAAGAAAGGGCCAGGACAGAATAGTCTACACTGAGACACAAATGCAAAGAATACATGTTCAGCCAGTTAAGAGGGTGGAGAGCGTGAGCTTGTGGTGGAGCAGTCTGCCCATGTCGGCAGTTCCTGCTGAGCTGTGTTTATTGACTGAACAGCCATGATCTGAGAGCTGAGTCCAGTTCCTTCAGTCACGTTTAACTTTCACATGACTCCTGTACAGCGCTTTGAACTGGGAGATTCGTGTTGTTTAAAAGGATACATATTTTTTATGCAACTCTAATCTGAATCGATTCAACAACCTCATTCGGGGTTCAGCCTAACAATTAGAACAAAACTAGTGCTCTATTCTGGTGTCGGATTGGATGAGTTAAGACACAGTGTATGTGTCCATGCCAAGGACATTTCAAGAGTAATTTGGGATGGAGCACACCACACTTTTTAAAAAGGTTGTTGTAGTCTGTTTAGGTTTGCTTTTTGTTTTTTTTTTTTTTGTTTTTTTTTGAGACAGGATTGTGGGAGGTGGGGGCGGTGAGCCTGGTGGTGCACGTCTTTAATCTCAGCACTCCTGAGACAGAGGCAGACAGATCTCTGGGAGATGGAGACCAGCCTGATCTCCATAGTGAGTTCCAGGCCAGCTGTGACTAGACAAAGACCCTGTCTCCACAAAACAAAACCAACAACAAAAAGTTGTAGCCCGGTATAAGAACTTCACATTTAAGTAAGGTATGAATGACTCCATTGTTATAAACATATTTCTCAAACCCTTCAAAAATGCTTTGAAAAAATGAATGTTCTGTTTTAGCCCAAGTGGAACCTGAAAACTCTCCCTGTGTACCCTAATTTTTCGTTTCAGTATATCCCAAATTAAATTAATCTGAGCTTTATTTTACACATCTCCCAGATCAGCTTTCCCTGATGTCAGCTTCTTAGCGGCACCACCCCTCTCCCAGCTTCCCAGACTTAAAGTCTTACTCTGGTTAAAGTCCTACCCCATTGCACGCCTCAGTCCCCGAACGCAACTATTGCTTATTAAGCCTGGTGCATGCTTACCAGCCTTGTTCTAATTGCCCTCCTGTGATAAATGGTCTTTATCAGACTTTAACTCTGCAGTTTCCGTATGAACTTGCCCCTTCTTTCCACACCGACCAGGATGCTCTGCACGTGGAATGCCTGCTCTTACAGTGCACGTTGTGTCTCTTTCACTTTGTATTTATTCTTTTTCACGATACTTTTTCCTCAAGCTCCTGCCTTGCAGACTTAACAGTCACCCGTCAACATTTAATGGCTCAGGCTCAGGCATTGTGCTAGATGCTTTGTGTGTGTGTGCGTGCCTGCGTGTCTTTTTAGACAGTCTCCCTGTAGCCCCAGCCTGCCTGGAGCTCACTATGTACACCAGGCTGTCTTTGATCTCATAGAGATCTAACTGCCTCTGCCTCCTGAGTGCTGGGACTAAAGGTGTGCGCCACCAGACCTGGCTTGCTAGGTGCTTTTTGGCTTATATCCCAAGTCTGTCTTCACATTTAGTGACAGTTAATCCTCAGAGCAACTTGTAAGATAAGGATCACAATTTATGTAGTTAGATCCTCATGTCTGAAGTCTCACTAGACTAAGCAACACAAAGCAAAGCAAAAGTTAGCACACAAGAATGGACAGTCTTCTGATGAACTCTGACCTGGCCGTCACACCAACGTGCCCACCTGTCACTGCTGTTGATAAAATGCATGTGCGGTACAAACCAAAGTGATAAACTTTGCCCTGAGGCAAAGCTTGATGAAGTCTGATTCAGTGCCAGAGCACAGCTCCGGTCACTGCGGGGCGGCGGTCAGATGGGCAGGGGTAACAGCTGAGGAAAAGGGTGGGCGGGAGCATCACAAAGAACCCTTGAGCAGCAGGTTAGGGGCCTTACGAAAATTACCGAAGCCTTAAAAAAATAGCTCCATTCTATAACCATGTGACTTTCAAGGGCGAAAGATACTGTTCCATTCTGTAATCAGAAAAGCTTTGCCAAAAAAATAAAAGCATGGTAACTAAATTGCTAACTGCTTTAAAGTCTGCCCTGGGCCTCCAGGGTGGCTCAGCTGGTAAAGCCTGCTAACTTGGTGGCCTGAGTTCAATTCCCAGATGCACATAAAGGTAGAAGGAGAGAACCAACTTCACAAAGGTGTCGTTGGCTTCCACACACATGCATGACACACATGTACCCACAGACCCATCATACATACAATAATAATAAAATAAGACAAAACCAGTTTTTCATGTTTCTGTTTTACACATCAGATTAAGTTACAGTTGCCCTTTATTTTCACCAGTCACTGACATTTGAACCTATTTTGGACAGGTCCTGGTGCCAATTTCCAATAGTTGGCAGCAAATGCCTTCCCTTTTTACAGCCAAGGCAGCATCAGATTGCTACGTATCAGCTCAGCTCCAGCTCCTTCGTGTTGCTATCCTTTTTGTGAAATGCCTGCTTGAATTTTCAGTTTTTCTTCTAAGCTCTCCTTTTTCAGTTGGTGGTGAGCACTGGGGGGGGGGGGGCCACTGGGAATGCCTTGGGGGTGAGCACTTGGCTGGGGGGGGGGGGTCACTGGGAATGACTTGGGGGTGAGCACTTGGCTGGGGGGGGGGGGTCACTGGGAATGACTTGGGGGTGAGCACTTGGCTGGGGGGGGGGGGTCACTGGGAATGACTTGGGGGTGAGCACTTGGCTGGGGGGGGGGGGTCACTGGGAATGACTTGGTGGTGAGCACTTGGCTGGGGGGGGAGGTCACTGGGAATTGACTCACTGAACTGTATCTCCAGCCCTTACTTTTTGTTTGAGATAGAGTCTCACTAAGTAGTCCAGGCTGTCCTTGAACTCCATAGCTCATTGCCTGGAACGTGTGATGCTCCTGCCTCAGCCTCCCAGGTCGCTGGAATCACAGCCCTGCAGACCAGGGCTGACCCTTGTCACTGCTTCTCTGCGCATCTCAGAACTGTGGCATTCCTCTGCCTCCTCGTCCCCTAACTGAGCTTATCTCCTGTTCACCACCTGGGCCATCATCCCCTTTTACTCTCCTGGAGTTGAGTCATTTCTGTGACAGGTTTTTCTTCTTCACTTGGGTCTTTTTTAGAAGCTTTTCCCTTTTGTCTGCTTAAGAAATGTGTCTTAGACTTTGAGCGTTTGTTTTGTTCTTCTGAAAACTTGTTTATAAAGAGGTGTAACTTGGACAGGTAAGGGCTGACTGACCCCTTCTCAGAGGACACTGCCTTTCCATCCGCCCAGCGTGTCCAGGCATCACACCGACTTGCTTTACCTTGGCAGTTTCTTCTGGAAGCTCTGTGAGCTGGCACACCCCTTCCCTGCTGCTAAAGGCCCCCTGGTTTGCTAGTCAGGTGGGTGGCACTACTGTGGTCTGGTTAGGGATTTGTCTTGTAACATCACCACTGGGATTTAACAGTGATTTGGGAGGGACATTTAGATGTCTTGGTGCTAAAAAGTCTTAGCGATGGATCATTTTCTGCTTCAGAAATTTAAAGGGTACTTAGGGCTTGGTCCTACCCTCCATTCTTAAACTAATTTGTACAACTGTCGTTGCAGGATGAGAAAGGATGGGTTTAATTCAGTGTGAAAGGAAGCAATGTTAGAGTCACAGAGCCTCGCTAAGAAAATGAAGTCTCTTAAATGTTAACCTAGGCTATAATCAGCATGTGCATTGTGTGATAGGAATATTAATATCAGAAAATGGGTGAGTGCCATAAAGTTCTAATATCAGGGTTAATATCTCTTAAATATCAGTGGTGTTCAGTCTCCCAAATGGTTACATTTCCCTTTCATTATCTTTCTATGTGGATAAAAGGTAACAAAATACATGTTAATCCTTCTAAAAATGAAATCTCCACAAGTCAGCATATCAGTGTCTCATGTCTATGATTTGGTGAAAAGTTTTTGAAAAGCACGTTGGAAAATGTCTGTCTTCATATCCTCATTAGGAAACTTCTTTTTAATTTTGTAGTCAAATCAGAAAATTAATGCCCGTTGGACCACAGAGGAGCAGCTTCTAGCAGTGCAAGGTATACTAAAGATAAGCAGTTATTGTTGTTAATCATTATCTAACTTGTCATGAAAGGTGACTTCCAGTTGTTCCCTTCCTTTAGAAATGGACCAAGAAAGGACTCTGTGTTCACCACAAAGTCCTGGTGCAGGAATTGTGTGTTGTGTTTCTGGATGTGACAAACTGAGTCTGTGCATTTAGGGTCCTGAGTAGCGCAGCGTGCGTTCTCAACACTGACTGGCTGATGGGCGTGAGCCAGCCACGTGGGCTGTGTCTCGGCCTTAGAGTCCTTGTCACTGTGTCACACATCGATGACTCATTAAGCACCTGAACTATAAGGTTTTGATTTGTCTAATCGCTCTTTAAGTGTTTCTCCATTTGATAAGTATTTTCAGTGTGTCATATCTTACCTAAGAGATATACCACTGAACGCTTTTAAGAGATTTCAGAGACATGAAAGTATAATAGCACACTTGGATGCACTGTTTATAAGAATGCTTTATTGCGTTGTACGGCAAAAGACTTTGTCTTATGAATACCTGGGCAAATGGAAACATTAATATTAACTTCTGTTTGAGTTATTTAAGGGCAAATTGCATATTTTTATTTTGGGTGTATTTTTATTCCTCAAGATGAACTCTCTGTAGAACTGATTGTATAATTTAAATGTGGTCTGCATTTTGTTTGGTGAGCTGCCTTTGTGCTGAGTATTGATAGCTTTTTATGGAGGGTAACTACTGTGAGAGTGGAACTCCATTGAAACATTAAACACATTGTTTTAAAATATTTCCAAATGCTCATCCTTGCCTTAGTTTTAAAAATGACCATTTCCAGTTGTTGCATCATAAACATTTACAACTGTGGCTTAGAGTTCTAGCCTAGAGTTCGAACAGGAATTCCTTTGTCCATACAAAGCCTTTCTCCCTCCATTATGGTATTGCCTGGTAAGGACTGAACCATGATTTTCAGTGTTTGGTTGCTTAGAGTTAGTATGTTAATTCTGTACTGCAGTACAAATCACCTCAGGAAGGATTTTCTGAAGAAGACCACCCCCACCCCCCAGGGAAGTGTGGTGCTTTCCCTGCACAGCACTTGGTGTGGTGCTGTTAAACATTGAGTCCGTTGACTCCTGCGGCCGGCCGGGCTGGGTATACAAAGCTGCGTTCAAGGAGGGCAGTGGTGAGATCCGTGTATATGACTTGAGCTATATTTGTGCAGTAGCGTATAAATACTAAAATCCTAGAGTGAAGCAGTTCCTTTATGCTGAGGCATGTTCAGTATTACGATGAGCAGTTTAGAAAGTAACCCTTGGAGGGGTGCTTGCTCTCAGGACTCTGAAGGTACTTTGAAAAAATAGTGTGTTAAATGTCTCATTTTTAGTTCTTCAGACTCTGGAATTTTTTTTCTCATTTTATTTTCGTTTTTTCTTTTTGTTGTTTCATAAAACGATATTAAGCTAAATAGTCTAAAATAGTGATGTTAGAAAGGGCTGAAAAGCACCATTTTGTCCTATGTGTCCACACCTTTGTGTAATATCTTAACAGCGTATAAACAGTAAAATCTTGAAGTGTTGTTCCCAGTATCTGAGTTAAGGCTTATAATTGCAGTGTATTTCAGCATGCTTAGTAAGCAGCATTAAGATGTTACTAATCAGGCAGTCGTGTTTTTCTTCTTTAATCTTTATGATAAAACCCTTATCTGGTATCTTCCAATGGTCACTGCAGTTTCTCAAAGCAATAATGAATTACAGCTTGATATTGAAATGTTTTAATTTGTGTGGTACTTACGTTCAGGATATTTAATATATATTCTGATGTGACACCCTTTGTAAAATGCTTTGGTTTGTCTTGCTCATAATAGACTAGGTTAGACTAGATTGCCGTGATCTAGAGAAATGCATAATGCTGCTATTGAGATTTAGGACTCCATCACAGATCTTTTCGTGGTATCTATTTAAAAACCAAGCAAAAATCAAGAGTTTTCTTTCCTAGGGTTTAAATAGTCATCTCCACCTTTCCCATCTGATCATGTTGTTACTACAAATGCTGGTGGTCCATGCACATCTCCTTTCTCCCTTACTTGAAGGAGGAGCAGAGAAGCATCCTGAGATCTGACAGGAACGTGCTTTATTGTGTCCAGTCTAGATCTGCTGTAATTTCAGTGACACGCGACGAGATTCCAGATTGGGGCCTCCAGTTGTGCTTCCAGGGTGCTTCACTGAGTCTCCGCCTCATGTTCGAGCCTGAAGAGTCTAAACTTTCTATATAACTTGTTTGCCAGTGTTGAGGCCACCCTGGTCTTCCATGTTTGTATTAATGGTAAAGTTTTATCCCTGTTTGTAGTTTTATTATATCTTTAAAAATACTATACTTTGTTTTACCCTAAAATTAAGCTAAATATTCATATGATAAAAACCTTTATTGAGCTAAAGTTAAGAAAATAATTTGATTCTACAAACGTCTTTTTGTGTGTAAATGGAGCAGATTATTAGCTGTTATCAGAAGACCATTCATTGACATGCTAATGCGTGACACTCATTAAGGAGTGTATGGGGAGAGGCTGGCAACAGTGTTTGCCCCCAAAATATATTCACATCCTAGTAATTAGTGCTGGAAAAAAAATAGGCTGTCCAGTTGAAATCTCTCTGCTTTTAGGCGAAACTGAAGTTTATCCAGTTTTGTCAAATGGCATCTTGAGTTTGACTTTCGCTCCGCCTGCCGTCTCATATAACGCAGGAATGACAGCGTGTTCAGGTGCTTGAGCCTGCTGAGACATCACTTTCTTCTTCTAGTTCAATACTTGATTTTTTAAAGAGAGATTAAGTTGAAAGTCTAGAAATTGCCTAGCTAGCTATGAAAACTAGACAAAACTAGAATGATTCATAAAGTAGAGGACAGTCATTTTGACCATTGAAGAAAAGGAAAATCCAGTGCTTGCCTAATGGAAAGGCTAGGAAGCTCTCGCCTTTGTCCTAGAGATACTCTTTGCTTTAAAGTATTCTTTCTGCTGTGATTGGATGTAGCTGTCAGCCCCCCAGGCACTTTCTTCCAAAAGCAGTTCACAGTTTGCTTTGTTTTGGGAACTGAACTGGCGGCATGGAAGAGCCTAGAGTTGGGGGAGGGGGGCAGAGGAGAAGCAGCATGCCCTGAAGGAAGTGTGCAGTCTGGGCCGAGCCCTCACCCTGCATTCTGATCACTCCAACAGAGTTTGGAAGAGGCTAGAGAGGAGTGATTCAGATTTCAAGTGTGTATCTTGGTGATTGAAAAGAGCTGCATTCTCCATGTTTCCAGGTGTCAGTGTGCTCTTACTGTTTCAAAAATACATTTTTAAAACATACTCCAATTATATTAAGGATATAGCTCCCTTTTAAGAAATTTTGTAGAGGGGCTGAAGAGATGGCTGAGTTAGAGCACTGGCTGCTCTTGCAGAGGACCCAGGTTCAGTTCCCAGCACCCACATGGTGGCTAAAAACAGCCTGTAATTCCAGTCCCAGGGGACCTGGCGCCCTCTACTGCTCTCCACAGCCATTGCACAACACATTTGCACTTAAACACATTCAGGCAATATACTTGTACACATAAAACAAATAAATAAATATTTTTTAAAAGAAATTTTGTTGAAAGAAGCAGGTCATGGCAGAGGCAGGCAGATCTCTGTGAATTCAAGGCCAGCCTGGTCTACATAGTGAGTTCCAGGCCAGCTGGGGCTACAGAGAGACTCTGTCTCAAAAAAACAAAGAAAAAGGAAGCAGGAAAAAGTCCCTGAAATTGCATATAAGTGCCTCATCGCTGCTGTTAATGCTTTGCTTTCTGTTGTTTTGTGGTACAAAATGAGATTTTAAAAATACCCTTTAAACATATCAAAAGCAGCTGTCAGTGTTCCCCCTCCATGCTGTGCTTTCTGGCTAAAAAGGAAAATTCTGAATTCATGTCCATCGAAGCGCTCCTAAAGTGTAGACAGACAGACAGCGCTGACGGAATCTGGGGGAATGGAGGTGGTGGCTACACAGTCCCTACCACTAATAAGTTTCCTCCACAAAAGTGTAAGCAGGAAATGCTTGAATACATATGTGTAGGCGTAGTGATGTCAGGTAGCACAGAATGCTGATGGAGAGTGTGGGCCCCCGGGGAAGTGCAGTGGTAACAGAATCTCCTAATCACTTACATTTTTCTAAATTCCCGAACAAAAGTTGAAGAATTCGACAAAAGGAATTACTTGCACAAATATAGGAAGTTTAGAAACCTGGCCAAAACCAAGTTCTCCCCTGAGAAATCCACAATTTGGCCTCATCCAGGGTTCTCCAGATACTTTCTCCACAACCCCTGAAAGCTGACCTCTTGCACTAGAGGTTCAGTTGTGCCTTTTATGTAGCAACAGAGAGATGAACCTAACCCTTGCTGAGAATTGCCTTATTTATTATAAGTGCTGCGACCCCAGATTGGAACTCACGTGGCTCTGCTCTCTTACGTCTAGGTCACTGGTTCCCCATCACTATGCCTAGCTGTCCACAGATTCCCTAAGCAGGATCCTTCTCCAGGAGCAATACCAGCAAATCATTTGGCATCTCACTGGAGTTTGCAGAGTTGCTGACCACCTTCTAAGTGGTTGTATCTTCTAGGTAGTTCATCTTCCAGGTAGTTGTGAGGAAACCAGTTACTTTGTATGCTAATCTTAAAAAGCTTTCTTTTTAAAATGAAGATTCCATTTTCTCAACTGTTGAGCAGTCCCATTGGAGGCATACAGAGGTGATGAAGCAGCCCACCATTGGCTGGGAGGTGGCTCAGTCAGTAAAGTGCAAGGCACAGAGGCTTGAGTTCAGTCCCCAGAACCCATGTAAGAAAGCCAGGTGTGGTGGGGCCTGCATTTGTAATCCTGTCACTAGTGACAGCACAGCACTGGTGGATCCCGAGGGCTCTTTGGCCAGCCTAGCCTACTGTGTTCCAGGATGGAGACCCTGTCTCAAAAAAAAAAAAACAAAAAGGTGGAATGACTCTGAGGTCCACCATGTATGCAGAGTGGTCTAAGGAGGAACACAAAAATTAAGCCTACGCTAAAGAAAAAAACGTGTCTCCTGAGCACGCTGTATGAACTTGGTGCTGACTGGTGCTGCTTCCCCGGGCTTTTCCACATCGCAGTGGAGTTTATCGGAACACATTGGTGCATTCAGATCAGACCACCCCAGTCCAGAGCAGACTCCTCCTAAGGAGCTCGAGCTGTGACAGGCACTGCCTGTCTTGTAGGCTTAGGAGATCCATATCTGAGGACACTTGTTCTCAGGACACTGATTGGGATGGTCATCCAAACCACAGAGGTCAGCTGCCTGGACAGCCTCACCTGAGTTAACAAAAAAGCCAAGTGGGAACAGTGTCTGACACCCCAAAGCCAGAACACTGGACCTCTCATGGGGGCAGCTTTCAACTTAGGGTCTGTAATGCTGCAGCCATGAGCATATTTGGTACCAAGGTCAGGCCTGTTGAAGCAGGGGAGATCCAAGAGTGAGCTGTCAGAGGGACAGAACCAGACTCAGGCCTTTAGAACTTCTTTTGCAATTTTTGGAATATATTTTGCAAAACTTACAGGTACTGAGGATCATAAGATCTTTATTTTTTCATTTGTTTTTATTGAATTTTTGTGTATTTTGTACAGAATATCTCAAAGAATCTCAATCATCTTTATACCCCCGTCCCCACCAGCATGCTCCCACAGCCCCCCCAATGAACCCATATACCCTGTCATCTGTATTAAGGCCCAATGTGTCAAGTCAGTGTCCCCAGACATTCTCCTGTGCAAGTCTTAAGACTTGGAGTCAGAGTTAGTCTTAATGTTACTTCTTGCTAGGAATACAAGAGATCTAAACCTTGTTTATAAACTTGTGTATTCAGGCTTGGTGTCCTGAGAATGTAAATTAAGCCTGACGTGCTGAATCTTGCCTTTAACCCAAGCACTGGGAAGGGCAGAGGTAAGCAGAAAGAGACGGGGCCAGCCTGGCCTAGTTCGTTCTAGGCCAGTATCCCTTGAAAGTAACCGTCTCTCTCTGAGGGAGCACTGTGTCTGGGTTCTAGTCAGCTGTTACTCTTTACTGCAACTGTCCTAAATGTGTGTCTAGAAATGAGACAGAAATTCTTTTAAAAGCTGCTACTTTTTAAAGGATAAGTAATGGAGAACTACTTGAACATTAACAATAATTATTATTATGGAGTAACCTGGGTTTTTTATTACCAAATAAACCTCAGTGTTACTTAGTCACCATTAGATTAAGATTTATAAGAGAACATACACTTATTTATGCTGATGAAACATTACAAATGACGTCCATCTGCCGGGCCCCAGCACTTAGGAGGCAGAGGCAGGTGGATCTCTGTGAGTTCGAGGCCAGGCTGGTCTGCATAGTGAGTTCTAGGCCATTTGGGGCTACAGGGAGACTCTGTCTCAAAAAGACCAAAAAATAAAACTACATAAATAAATAAAGTCCATAGTTCCTTGTTATCATGGGTGTCTTTCCTCAGAACAGAGCAAGTGATGACCACAGCTTACAGACCAAGCTAATATCAGACTTCTCATCCAAACGCTCTAAAGGTATGGAACTCGCTCCCCCACGTCAAGCCAACTAGATGAGTGTAGCTGGAGATGCTTGTTCCCAGAATCTCAGTTCAAAATGCGAATAGTGTTTAAAAGCAGAGTCATTTTATGACGATGGCATTTGTAGGAATTTGGTGTGAATGTCAGTGGTCACGCGGCCTTTCCTCTGGCTGCTCACAGCCCTGTCTCACCCTCGTCTCTGATCACATAAAGTTCAGTTTAAGCCGCTTCTTTTGCCTCTTTTGCTCGTCTCTTTCATGAAAGATTATTTTCTGATATTAAAAACAAGTGGTGCACGCCTTTCATCCCAGTACTTGGGGGGCAGAGGCAGGGAGTTCGAGGCCAGCCTGGTCTACATAGTGAGTTCCAGGACAGCTGGGGCATCAGGGAGACCCTGTCTAAAAAAAGACAAAAAAAAAAACAAAACAAAATAAAAAACAGGCTATCAAGTATAAAATCAAAATTGTTTGGCTTTTCTATTTGAGCTGGGGACATCTGCTTCTAAAAATGAGTCCTTGAGTTTCCAGTTTCCTTTAGACTTCAGCTTAGCAGGTTTTCAGCTGTGGTGACTTCTGCAGCACTGTGGGCTTCATTAGGCAGCTGCTATCCTGTTATAACGAAACTTCCTTGGTGAGCAGTGAGCTCTTAGGTAGCAGTATCTGCCCTTCTTAAATTAAGGTAGAGCTGATGAAAATAGTTTCAGAGCTAGGAGTCCTTGCACAGTCTTTAGAACTAGTAGATGGGTTAAAATCCAGTTGACAAAAATGTCTTCCCTTTCTTTAATCCATCAGACTGAGATAATTCTGCTTTTACATTTTAATAATTTTTATTTGTTGGGTGGGATAGGCAGGAGATCCCGGTGAAGTTCCCATTGCTTTTGGTAATGGGGGAACCGGAAGGCTCACTCAGTCCATTGAGGGGGGTGAAAGAGCTCCTTCCATCCCATTTTGGTTACAAACGGTGTTGCTCAAATTTAGGTGACTGGCTGCTAGGGAAATAAATGAGTAGAATTGAGGAGGGGACAAAGAATTCAATGCTTTTTAATAAGTGAACTGTATTTGAGAGTTCAGGAGAGGATTGGCGAAAAGAACTGAGTGTGTAAACATGGTAAGTTTCAGAGTTCAGTTGAAGGCAAGTGGCTGGCTCCTGGAAATGACATAATTGACAGTTGTCATCTGTGACCCTGAGTGATGTCTTAGCTCTGTCAGAATTGATCAGCAAGGGTTCATTGCTGGTATACTGTGTGTGCATGATGTGTGGGGCCCACAGCTCTCCTTACCGATCCTTCACAGGTGTATTATTTACTTTGCCTTCCAGGTGTCCGCAAATATGGTAAAGATTTTCAAGCTATTGCAGATGTAATTGGCAACAAGACTGTTGGCCAAGTGAAGAACTTCTTTGTAAACTACAGGCGCCGGTTTAACTTAGAGGAGGTGTTGCAGGAGTGGGAAGCAGAACAAGGAACCCAGGCTCCTAATGGTGATGCTCCTACTGTAGGGGAGGAGACAAAAGGTGCTTCTCATGTGCCGTCAGGAAAGAGCACTGACGAAGAAGAGGAGGTGTGTTTGTGTCTGGATTTGAGCTAATACGAGCTGAGGTGTCACCCTGTGTGGCGTTCTGTAAGGCTAGTGTCGGGGCTAGCCAATGGGCACGGCAGGCTGACCATATACTTCCTCAGTGGCGCATCTCGTGACTCCGAAGTCGTCATGACATGCTGACTTCTGACCCTAGCAGGATGGAAAGTGCATTACTCTTCCGTAGTCTTACTTTTCTTTCTGCTGTCAAGCTGTTTACTAATAAAGATGCCTGTTTGGTAGCCTTATTGCTTTTGGGGGCCTTCGGGGGTATTTTTTGTTTATTTTTGTTTTGTTAAAAATAAAAGAAGCTTGTGCTTCCAATAAACACTGGTGTTACGTTTTCGTTTTGTTTTGGTTTGGTTTGGTTTGTTTTTCCTGTGACAGCCCAGACTGTATTGAATCAAGTTCGTTAGGCCCTAAATCTCATACAGGTCCTTTTGTTTCCTAACCCCTAGGCACAGACCCCACAGACTCCTCGGACTCTGGGTCCGTCACCTCCTGCCCCATCATCCACTCCAACACCAACAGCCCCCATCACCACGCTGAACCAGCCTCCACCTCTTCTGCGTCCAGCGCTGCCTGCTGCCCCTGCTCTTCACCGACAGCCACCTCCGCTCCAGCAGCAGGCTCGCTTCATCCAGCCCCGGCCAGCTCTCAACCAGCCTCCACCACCTCTCATTCGTCCCGCCAACTCTATGCCGCCCCGCCTAAACCCTAGGCCAGTGCTGTCCACAGTGGGTGGTCAGCAGCCACCATCACTTATCGGAATTCAGACAGATTCGCAGTCCTCGCTGCACTAAAAAATGAACTGGACGGCGTGGCAGTGACTTTCCACCCAGCATTCCAGCAGTGCTCATCTGATGATGCAGGAGGACACCGAGGCCGCAGGCTCATTCTGTGGCTGTGGACCAGCAGAAGCGGCAGTCTGCCGTTCAGGTCACTAAGAAATGTTACACAACAAAAGCCTCCAGTCAGCCTCCTTTCCAGAGTGTGTGCTCACCGGGAAAGGAACAAGCGTTCTACGCACCTGGGGTTTGTTCTGTTTTTACTGTATTTATTTTGTTGAGGTTCTTTATTTTCTTGCCTCTTAATAGTCAGCGCTGTTAGTGCAGGAATATTGACTTGGGAATTGTAAAACTCCTTAAGTTTCTTAAGGGTGTTTGACTTTTCTCTCTTTTTTTTAATTTAATTTTTTAAAAACATTTTCCTATGTTAGGAGTGAGAGAATAAATAACCTGCATTTCAGATTTTGATACGTGTTCATTTTATTCATATTTAAGAAATTACAACTACGTATCCCTTTTTTCAAAATATGTTGCTTTTTTTCTAAAGGAATTTTGATATATTCCTTTAGAGAAAGCAGTTTAATCAATTGCAAAGCAATTATATAAAACCACAAAGAATGTATTGAACCTGCTAACCCTTTAACATACAGTCAGGGTCCTAGCACAGAATCCTTGTTTGAAGGTCTTTGACCCTGTTGTCTATCCGAAACAGGTTTGGAATTACATACCAATGAGGAATTACAATTTGGTAAAATATAATGCCTAAGTTCCCTGAAAAATGTTAATTTTGAAAAAGAATCTTTCAAAATGCTATTTGCTTTAACTAGTAGCTGCCTGTATTTGAGGGAATTTAGAGGAGACTTCTATTTTGTCAGTTACGTAGAGATGGTTGTTATAGAAGCATTTATTTACGGTCTGTGTTTATCTTCCGAACTTAGCCCTTGTACTCCACGTTTAATATGAAGGGTGGTTTGTTTTGTTTTTCTTTTCTCCTTGATAAATCTCTATTGTACATTTGGATACATTTTGTATTTCTTGCAGCCAACCTGTACTTGTGGCTTTGATTTACGGTTAACTCATCCACATTATGTCATAAGATGAATTTAAGAATTTGTTCTGTGTTAACCCGAGATGTATCAATTGTATTGCCACAACTGTGCTATTAACTAAAAATACTGAGACCCATTTCTACAAAGCAATAGAAAGACTTAAAGTCTTTTTATTCTAACACATAGTCATTAAGCACCTACAAAGAATATATCACAAGTAAGTGATGATAGTATTGTAGTCTCGTGTTACTGGTACTTTTGATAGAATGATTTCATATTGGAATCATGGCTTGTACAGAGGGACAGACTGACAGTGCAGCATCAGGCTGAATGTGCCCACCTACATTCTTACCACAGAATGTCAGCAAGCTGCCCACGTCAGAGGTCATGTGCCCTAAGTGTTGGGAGAACGGTTCCTTCCATCGGCTCTGCAGCCTTAAAGAGCCCTAGATTTAAATATTTCTAGGTTCACCACTTCCTTGGTAAGGACCTTCTGTTCTGATGTGATTGAAGACAGCTTGCAGGTCCTGGTCCTTCTCATCAGATCATCTTAAATAGTTCCTGCCCCAGATAAAATTTAACTGATTTAAAATACTATTGAATTTATACTTATTTTTACTTTGAAAGCCATGGGGGATGGTCATCTATCTCCGATGTCTGGAGCTTTTTAAAGCGCTTCGTTGTCTTGAGTATGTGCATCTTGTACTTTGACAGTGTCCCTTGTCTTGTCTCGTCGTAGACCTGCAGTGCACAGCACGTGGGAAATGTCAGTCACGTTGGTCAGCGCCAGCATCTGTCCAGATTTCAGTACGTTGTGATGCATTTATGGTCTGCTCTGTCCCACACATGGGCCGAGGTGCTGTATCTGAGGGGTGCACTGCAGTTTTACTCACAAACACTAGAGCACACAGTAGAAAAGTTGTAGCTTCATTAGTAATATGACACATGTATATAGTGAGATGTCTTTATTGTGTGCTTTGCATATTTTGTAAATATTTTGCACGCCATTATTTCCTTTTTTGTTTAAGCAGTGTTTGGCCTGGAAGAGTAATATGCTTGCTGCTTAAAAGGATTAAAGATTTAAAGGTGTCTATGTCTTCTATTTTCCTACAACCTCATGTTGTATGAGGAATCTAGGACCTCTTCACTGTGAAATTCTAAATACTGATTTTTATAAAAAAAACAAAAAACAGTCTAGAAGTCGCTTACTGACCATTTTCCTTAATTTTGAGGTTATCTTTTAGAGAAATCTACACCAAAGTGTTTTTTATGACATAACTAAAAATAAATCACACTGTTGATAATATCTGCTAAAATTAACGAAAAGTATTTTTCTATGTGATTTAATTCCTGGGTAATATGGATGGAGGCAAAGGTAAGTTATGGTCAGTTTAAAAATACTGTCCTGCTTCTTGTCAGTAGATGTCAATGAGCCAAGGACAATAGTCGTATTTCCAAAAATATGAAGTTATTTGGTTGAAAGTACCAAGCTCGGTTATTAGGTAGCAAGTTACAGTAATGCGCCCTCCTGTTCTCAAAAGAATGTTGCCCTTAAATATTCATAGGACTTAGCTACCATGGGGATACCCGGACCCTAAGGAAGACGATGACTCAGGCCCCAGGCAGGATTTGCTTTTCTCGGTGTGCGTCCCCCAAATAAATACATTCTGACTGCAGAAAACAAGAACTGAAATGTGTTGACCTTTGAAGTTGGGCGTTTATAGATGAGTCTCTTGTAAAATAAAAGTGCAGGAAGTGCCGAGGTAAGTGTAGAAACCTTGCTACGCGGACAACATCTGCAGCTGACTCTTGGCTGCTGACATTTATTTTCCATTAGGAAAAAAACATCACAGATAGTTCACCCTGGCTTTTATCTTTATCAGGTCTGTAGACAGCTCTGGAGGGCTCACTAGCAGTGGGGTCTGGAAGTTAGAACAGGAAAAGCTAGATAACCTGAGTGAATCTGTGTCTAAAAGGTCATGAAGCCTTATCTGACCTTTCGCTATTCTAAGCATTGATTCACCAATTTTTAAGGTATTTATTTTTATTTTATGTGTATGTGGGTATTGCTTACATGTAGGTAAGTGCACCCGTGTCATTCAGTGCCCTCCGGAGGACAGAAGAGGCTGTCGGATCCCCTGGAACTGGAGTGACGGACACTTGTTAGCTGCCGTATGGGTGCTGGGATTCGAACCATGGTCTTCTGCAAGAACAACCAGTGTTCTTAATTGATGAGCCATCTCTCCAGCCCCAGCACTGAACATTCTTAAAATTTATTTTCCTTATTTATGTATTTTTAAAATTAGCCTACAAAGTATTAGGTATGGAAATTTGAAGCAAGATTTGCTGTCTGGTCCCCACCATCCCGTCCTCCCCCAGCCTTCCCCCCACCTGCCTGTCTGCTTCCTCCTCTCCGGTCTCCTGGGCCCTATTCTCCCCTCTTCCCTCAGCATCTTTCACCCCCCTGGACATGTAATGGAGAGACAGTGGAGACCCAGAAACGGTGGTCAGATTGTGGTATTTGCAAGTTGTCACTGAAAGATGAGAAGCAGGCTGCTGGGGGACGGGGTGGGGAGGTCTTCCCAGTGTGGGGACTTGTAAGCATTAGGACTGGAGCAGGAATTGGGTTGAGCAAGGTTTTTGAGAAAGGGGTGGGTGGGGTGTGAAGTACGGAGACTGAAGGGCAGTCTTCAGCAGTATCTGTGTGTAGCTAGGTCTGCAGTGAAGGCCTGAATTTAGAACAATTAAAACCTTGATGATAAAACTGACTCAGACAAACCACGAAGAGACAAGAAAAGGGGATGAAAGTGTGGGTACCCCGGGGGCAAAGGCAGAAAGTACAGGCACAGGTACAGCCTGTGTCTAAAAACCTGCTTTTCAAAACTTGGAGCTGGAGGCTGGAGAGATGGCTCAGCAGTTAAGAGCACTGAGTACTTTTGTAGAGGACCTGGGTTTGATTCTCAGCACCCATGTGGCAGCTAACAGCCATATGTAACTCCAGCCCCAGGAGATCTGACGCCCCCTTCTGACCTCTGTGGGCACTGTACCACACAGGTGCATTTACATATACAGGCAATACACTTATACACATAAAAATAAATGCTTAAAAAAAAAAAAAACCTTAGAGCTTGGGGCTGGAGAGATGGCTCAGCAGTTAAGAACACTGTTCTTACAGAAGACCTGGGTTCGAATCCCAGCACCCACATGGCAGCTAACAACTCCGTAACTCCAGTTCCAGGGGATCTGACAGCCTCTTCTGTCCTCCACAGGCACTGCATGATACGGTGCACTTACCTACATGCAGGCAATACATGCATACACATAAAAATGTTAAAAAAAAAATTGGAGCTGAACAGATAGAGCAGTAATGCAGTGAAGGACAAGAGGGATTTCTTCAGGGTGTACACAGGCTTAGAAAGGCTATCTTGACATTTAGGTTTTTATTGAGTATTTACATTTCATATATTCTTAATCAAATTCAGACCCTCCCCCATCCACAGCCCCCCATCACCCCCCCACCACCACCAGATTCCGTGCATTTTGTCACGTATGTTAAGGCCTATCCAGTCAAGCATTTGTACCCAGATGTCCCTTGTGCAAGTTCATCCACTGGAGTCCAGTCAGCGATCTAGGGTCGCTCCCTTGAAGATCAGCTGTCCTTCACCCTGCAGTAATTGATTGCCGATAGTTCCTTGGCTATGTTGGGTTTTTGTCAGATTGAGTCAGCATGGGTCTTGTGTACAGTCACCATTGTTGCAAGTTCCCAGAGATCTGAAAAGCCTGTTTCCTTACGTTCATGCGCCAACCCTGGCTTAGTGTTTCCGCTCCCTCTTCTGCAATGGTCCCTGAATTATGGGTGAGATTTAATAGAGGAGTCCTCTCCAGGGAAACACTCTACAGTCTGTTATTTACACCTTGGCCAGTTGTGGCCTCCTGTGTGCATCGCACTCTGCTGTGTGAGGAAGCGTCACTGGTGAGAGCTGAGGGATGAATTAGGGTTCTCTCTACCCCCTCTTCTGCTATGTTCCATGAGCCTTAGGTGTAGAGGCTCCACTGTAGATGTGTCACTTAGGACTAGGCATCTCAGATGTATATTCTGTGTGTGACCAGTTGTGGAACTCTGTAATAGCCTCCGTCTGTTGCAAAAAGAAGCCTCTTTGATGAGTGGTGTATGGTACACTTGTCTGTAAATACAAGGATCCATATTTAGTGTATGGTAAGGAAATTTTGTCTGGAAATACAACAGAGATAGGGTTTCCTCTGGGACCCTATGACCTCTCCAGCCATGTGTATTTGGTTATAATTACAGTACTACCCATGAGCTCCCTCCCTTTGAGAGGACTTTTAAGTCCAATTAGACAGCTGTTGATTACCCCTAGATAACAGTGCCACTACTGCACCAATAGGGGTAGTTTGCTATGCCAGTCATTGTGGTTATTAGGCTTCAGAGATGGGTTGGACCTTTGATTGATTTTTTTCCCTTAGCAGCTTGCATAGAATCCTCTAGAACTATGGGAGCTAATCTTCAGGGAGGAGACTTCCAGGTCAGTTCCAGCTCCATTGAAGTTTGTGAGCCTGAGCCTTTAACTGCTAAACCATCGTTTCAGTCCACAGAGTATTGTTTAAAAATAAACGACAGGGGCTGTAGAGATGGCATGAGTATTTTTTTATTAACCCCCCCGCCACACACACACACACACACGCGCACACGCACACACGCACGCACACACACGCACACACACACGTACACACACGCACGCGCACGCACGCACACGCACACGCACACGCACGCACACACACGCACACGCGCACACGCACACGCACGCACACGCACGCACACACGCACACACACACGTACACACACGCACGCACACACACGCACACGCACACGCACGCACACACGCGCACACGCACGCACACGCACGCACGCACACACACGCACACACACACGCACGCACACGCGCACACACGCACACACACACGCACACGCACACACACACGTACACACACACACGCACACACACGCACACACACACACAAATGACATCGGTTTGGGGAGATTGGCATTCCTCACCTCCCTCTGCCTGTCTTTTTGTGGTGGGCAGCCTACTGACAGAACTGAGGTCAGATTTATTTGAATGAATCCAAAGAACCACCTTTCACTGGGTAAGGAGGAGCACCCACAGACGTTGCTCTACCGTTTCTATGAGGTGCCTACTTCGTGAGCCAGCAGGTGTTCTATGTGCACACTGCCCTGAGGCTTGCTCTTGGTCAGGGAGTAGCTTGCTACTGTAGCAGACCTTCTGCCTGCTCTCTGACAAGCAAACTTTCCACTGTAGCCTGTAATGGTGCAACTAAAGACCCCAGGAGAGGAGATTCTCTTGTCTGGTCCCATCTATCATTAAGTAATGGGAATGCCTCTTTGTCCAGCTCTTGCTGTGCAAACTGAGGGAAATAGTGCATCCATGTGTTATTCCAGCAGGTGGCGGCCTCACCTCTCCACCAACCCACCCTGGAATTGACTGCCCAGGCTGCAGTCCGACAAATTAAATGCAGGTGTTTGGTTGTTGACACTCTTTGAAAACTTTTATTTATGGAGCTGGAGAGATGGCTCAGCGGTTAAGAGCACTGACTGCTCTTGCAGACGGACCGGCTTCAAGTCCCAGCTCCCACGTGGTGACTACGAACCGTCCTTAACTCCGGTTCCAGGGGAATCTGAAGCTCTTTTCTGACCTCCACGGCATTGCATGACACCGGTGCACTCACATACATGCAGGCAATACACTCATCTCCAGCCCCATAGTTTTTGGCAATCTTACAGTGTCCAAAGAGGTAAGATTTCACCCTGTTGCAGAAAAAAAAATTTTTTTATATATATGCTAGTTTAATCCTGCTCTTTGTAGGTGCATTTAGTTTGAACAATGAATTCTGTTTACTGTTAAATATAATGTTGAATTTAGGCTGGGCGTGGTGGGGCACGCGTTTAATCCCAGGACTCAGGAGGCAGAGACAGATGGATCAATGAGAGCAAGGCCAATCTGGTCTGCATGGTGAGTTCCAGGCCTGGGGCTACAAAGAAACCCTGAAAAGACACACAAAATTTAAATAGTTTGAAAATACCAAAACTGCTAAACGTTCCCTCTGTCTTAACATTGTTTTCTTTGAATTCACACTGACCTTTCTTTGAGAAGCAGGGTACAGTGGCTAAGAACACGAACCAAACTTTCTAGGTTCATCTTCCGCCTCTCAGAAAGTTTTGTGATTTGAGGAAAATTTTTCAATAGATGGATTTCCCTATCTATAAAATAAGGCTGATTGTTAAATGAGTTGATACAGATAAAATGTGAACACACTACCAGGTACACACTGTGATGGCTAACCTTAGGTAGGAAGAAGGAACCTCAGTCTCTATCAGGTTGGCCGGTGCCTTGTCTGTGGAGCATTTTCTTGACTGTTAATTGATTTAGGAGGGCCACTGTGGGTAATACTATCCCTGGGCAGGTGGACCTGGTCCATATAAAAAAGTTAACCACAGGTGAGCCTGGCAGGAAGCCAGCACCCCC